GAAGCTTCGCTTCTCTCCTAGCCTGCTGAATTTTCCTAATAGATCAAACAAGCACTTCCCCAGATAAAAGGAATTATACTCATTTACCCAAAGGCTCCTAACCTTGTAGTGTTGGGCAGTAGACCCTTCCACTTTAGGAACAAGAAGTACTGTAAGTCATAGGGGGAATGTTTCAGGAAGGCCGAGGCTGGTGCCTGTGACAGCCTAGCCAATGTGGGAGTAGGCGGAAGAGAATTCTAGAGCAGACCTGGCCCTGAACAGATGAAGGAAAAGAGGCCAGGCCAGGTTTCTCCAGCATGCTGGCTTTTTTTTTTCATGGCAGTGTGATGCATAGAACCCCTCTTCTGCTATCCAGCCATTACCCAACAAACTCCAAGGCTGTATGACTTACCCTGGATAAGATTATTCAGATTTCTTGCCACTTACAGTGGGGTCTCTACTTAAGAACTTAATCCGTATTGGAAGGTGTTGAAAAGTTCTTATGGTGAATCTGCATTTCCCATAGGAATGCATTGAAAACCATTTAATCCGTATCTGCTCTTTTCCGTCCATAGAAACTACAGCGCAACCTCTACTTAAGAACTTAATCCATTTTGGAATGGTGCTCTTAAGTTGAAACATTCTTAAGTTGAAGCAAAATTTCCCATAGGAATGGACTGAAAACCAATTAATCCGTTCTGGCAGTTTTTTTGTTATGTAGAGGTGCGTTCGTACATTGAAGCATTAGTTCCCATAGGAACTAATGCAAAGCTGGTTAATACGTACTCTACCACTAGGGGGAGAATTTTTTTTAACCTAAGATGACCTAAGGTTAAAAAAAGAGCAGGAAAGGTTTTTTTTTCCTGTTCTTATCTTGAATTTCTGTTCTCAAGTAGAAGCAAAATTTAGCAAATGGAGCTGTTCTTAAGTTGGATTGTTCTTAAGTAGGGACGTTCTTAAGTAGAGACCCCACTGTACCTCATCTACCAACCACATCCTTGTTTATATGCATGACTTTGTAAAGACATGTGATTACATGCTGTAACCTGGAAATATTTAGAACAAGTACATTGAGCGGTGGGTGGGTGTGTTCATGACACAAGAATTGGTGTCAGTAAAGGAATCACCTTCTCAATGTGTAGGTGGAGCCTCCTTTACTCCTTGTGTGCAATGGTGGGTCAGATCCCAATTCCATTCACCTTGCTTTAGCTAGTCCAGCCATTATTTTGCTGTGCTAGTTAATCAGGTCAAATTTCATTATCAGTGTTTGGCCAAAAAGTCCAAGGTTCAGAGGCTGAAGGCTCTTAGGTGATAGCAGTGCAATCTAACTTCTTAGAACTTACTTTATGAAGTACTGGGAATGGATTTTAGCATCCAGCAGAACTCAAAGGATGTGCCCAGCTGATCCATTTGCTCTCTAAGGCTCAGGTGGGCGAGGATGCCTCCCATGAAGGAGCTGAGCCTCGGCAGCTGGCCTGTCATGGGTTCCTTGTGCTGCCACTGCCCCTCCTTCTCCCTTCCAGCTTTAGAAAGCTCCCATTTCTGCCCTTGACCGTCCCTCCCATTCCCTTCATAGGGAAAGTGTCACTGGTTCTAATCTCCATCTGGCAGCTGTTGGCTTTTGGAGTCTTCAAGCATCACCTTTGACATCTTCTTTGTAAAGGGAAATGACCTTCGTCCACTGACCACTGCAAGCTGTCACCAACCAAAGAGCAGCAAAGTTGCCTTTGTCCCCTGGGGATAAACCATGGTGCAAATCTACAGGGCAGAAAGAGGCCGGCTGATTTTGGAAATGGAATCAAGCTCCAAGCCATGCTACCTTCTGCTTCACCATCTTGTTACTCCCTTTTGTTGTTTTACTTCCATTCATCCTGAAACACATCCTGTCTTCTGCATGCTTTTCTTGCTCGAAGTTACTATTGCAGCCCCGACAGGCGGCTGCCCTCTTTTTCATTTTAGCATGTTATTCAACAGTGCTTTAATCTGGCAGCATCTACTTGATTCCAAGGGTTGGATGGCCACCCTGCTTGGATTTTGTAGTGGTGTCATTAAAGCTCTACCCATCCGGGTGGTTCTGTTCATGTTCTTCTCTAAGCTGGTGATGAAGGAGACAGAAAGGAGGAAAAATCTTTCTGCTACATACATTTTATCTGGCTACTGAAACAATAGCCAACTCAAACAAGCAGGTAAAGAATTAGTCCTCCTGGAAGAGGCCCTTCAAAGGTGAAATGAAGAGGTCCTGCGATGAGCCATTTCTGCCGTGGTTGCTCATGGCATTGGTTCCCTCCCCCCAACTGGCTTCATTCTGTGAACAGCTGCCCCAAGATGCTCTAGCCAGGAATTGCCTACCAATGCCTTTCAGCCTGGAGCCTTTGCCACAATAATTGAACCCAATATGGACCACAAGTGTCTGGGAATGCTCCACCTTGCTTGACCTCTCAAGAAATGCCAAAAAACCTAAAAACAAAACAAACAAACTCCAAACTGCCTCTATGGCTCCCTTGGCCCCCCATGGCCTGAAGCCCGTCAGCTGCTCTCCCAGGCCCCTCGGCACTGCTTTCTCTGGACTAAACAGAGGCTAAGTAAGGCTCAGAGGCAGAGAGAGCCATGGCTCCTGTGGGAAGCAACCAAACAATTAGAAGGATGAAGCCACAATGAAGTATAAATTTCTGCTGGTGGAGATGACATGGCCTCTGACTTTGATTGCCTTGATGATTATATAAACGTTGCACTCCAGGCCTTACTTCCCAAGGCTCTGAAGGCCTCTTCACTTATGCCTGCTGACACTGCTAATGGTCTTAATGGAAAGGGAAGAGGTTCTGACCTCCTATCCAGAAGGCCTACAAGTCTCTTTGGGTGCAGGACAGAACAGATTGCTGAAAACTGGAACCTATTTCTCTGTTCCTCTCACAGTGTACCTATGCCTTTGCCCTAACTGTGAGGGGGGCAAGTTAAAAAATAGACACACACACACCCCACAGCTCTGGGAGTGGGAAGAAATCAAGAGGCACCAAGGGTCTGGGGTCTAGAAGGGTTCTCCTCTTCCCAGCACGCTGTCTTGTTCTGGCATGTGGCTGCTCTCCCCTCCTCCTCCTCCTCCTCCTCCCCCCCCGTCCAAATACACAAACAGAGAGAGCTATATTCTGAGACCTAAAAAAATTAAATAGGGAGATTCCCCTTTAAATTTTTCTGAAGGAGACAGATGGAAATGGAAAAACAACTTCCATTGCTTCAAAATTAATTGTAAACATGATTTATCTAACATCCAGCTTCTTATTTGAAATGCCAACTGTACAAATACTCTTTTGTCTGTGTTTGTGCGTGTTTTTAAATTTTATTTATTTATCAGGTCTTGCCATTATACAATCATTCTTTATACAGGAGTACACCCCCCAACGCCCCACTGAGGAAGAATCAGCTCCTCTTTGACAAAAGGAAATCTGGAGTCAGCTGCCTTCCTCCATTCTTCTAATCCGCCCAAAAATATTTGCATAGTTCCAGGGGTGTTGGGAGTCATGGCATACTTGGCTTTTCTGAATGGCTTTAAGAATTTATCCACTGATGACTCCTAAGATGACTTGTCACAAGGTCCTATGGATTGGCAATGGGATAAAAAATTCAACATGGTAACTTTAAGGGGCTGTTTCTCCCTGTTATAGTAATCCCTGCAGGATCCAGAGTCAGAGGTGGGTGGGTACAGAGGGGAAAAAACAAATGCAGTCTGGGCCATGCCCAGAATCCACGAAGAGATGATACCTTTATTGGATCGGTGGCATGCCATAAACGGGAGCACTTTCCTGCCAGCAGGACAAGCAGAGGCAGAATAGTTAAGGCAAGAGTCGGGCACTTTAGGCTCTGAGAATAAATTTCCAAGATGAAAGCGTGCAAACGTCATGAAGTAGCGGGTCGTCTGTTGGTCGTGGCAAGTTTCATCTCCGCAAAGTCAATTCTCTTTCTCGCTCTCCGTAGCTAAAAGGGACGCCAGTCATTTCAGCAAATCCTAACCAAGCAAACGGGGAAGAGCAGCAAAAAGGGTCCCTTCATTTGGGCTAGTGAAGGCAGAGGCTAAAGAGGGAAGGCTTAGGGTGACCGAAGACAAGGCGAGATCCATGAAGTCCAGCAACTGCCACCGGTCTGTTTGTATGCTGAGCGCGTCTGAACGGGCTGCAGCGATCCAGGATCGAGGTCTGCTGCTTCTGGTGAGTGCCAGCCTGACAGCCGAGGCTGGCTGGGTCGCTACCAAGGCTGAACGGAGGCACTCCTACATTCTTGGTTCCCCCTTTCGGCCGCGGCAGCGGGGGGGGGGGGGAGAGGAAGCTGGCCCATTATCCGCTTCTAGGAGAAAGCACCACCAAAGCTGGGGTGTGTGTGTGTGTGTGTGTCCCACGGAGCCAGGGGGGCTCTCGGGGCAAGGGAGATGGCAAGGCCAGCGCGGCCGCTTCCCATATGCTCTACCGCTGTCGGGATAAAGGCAGATGCACATGCGTATGCGCGCGCTTGCTTTTCTCTGAAGAGGTGCGCGTCCACGCCCCAGTTGGCCAAGAGCTGGCGAGGCGGGAGGAGGAGGAGGAGGAGGAGGCGCTGCCGCTGCGCGCATGCCCGCTCCCTCCTCACAGCTGCATCGGCGTCGGAGCCACTGGGAGAGCGAAGTGGTCCAGCCGCGATGGCCAGGGAGGCGGTCAGGTACTGGTCGAGCGTCCAAGCGGCTTCGGACTTGGGGATGGGCCCTTTCAGAACATCGAGACCGTAACAAAGGAAGCGGCTTCCTCGCCATCCCGCAGGCCGACCTGAGAAAAGCAGTCAGGGCGAGGAGGTGGAGAGCGCGGGCCAGCTCTGCTGTCAGCGCCCGGTCTTTGCTGGCCAGTGCGGGGGACAGAGGGAGTTCGCCTTTCCACCGGGAAAAAGAAGCCAGTCAGCCAACAAGCCTTTCTTGGGAGCCTCACAAGCCCCCATCCCCGCAAGATCGATGTGCGCTCCACGCGCCCACCCGTCCGCCGCCGCCGCCGCCGCCGCCACTCACCATGAACTCGGAGCTGACGATGGAGAATCTGGGCGACCTTCACGGGGCCGGTCATGAGCCGGGATCCGCCACCACAGATCTGCTTCGAAGCAGCAGCACCAGCGGCAGCCCCCACCACCCCCTCCACCATCCCCACCGTGGCAGTAGCCTCGGCTCCGTGGGCACTCGCGGCGGCGGCGGCAGCCACCTCTCGGCGCGTTCCCTGGGCATGGCCTCGCTCCTGGAGGGAGGGAATTATCACCCGCATCACCAACCCCACCACCGGAGCCCGCCCGAGCATTCGCTAAGCGGGCCTCCCTTGCACCCCACTATGACCATGGCTTGCGAAACTCCCCCGGGGATGGGAGGCCTGAACAGCACCTACGCCACCCTCACGCCGCTGCAGCCGCTTCCTCCCATCTCCACCGTCTCGGAGAAGTTTCCCCACCACCATCACCACCACCACCACCAGCGCCTGGCAGGCAGCGTGAGCGGTAGCTTCACCTTCATGCGCGGCAGCGGCGGCGGCGGGGACGAGCGGGGACTGGCCGGTGCTTCCCTGAACCCCCTGTATTCGCCCTACCACCACAAGGAGGTGGCCGCTGGACTGGCGCAGAACCTCTCGCCGCTCTCAGGCTCCGGCCTTGGTGGGCTCCATCACTCCCCGCAGGGCCTCCCGCACTACGCCCACCACCCCGGGGCCACCGCCGAGAAGATGCTCACTCCCGCCGCCGGCTTCGAAGCCCACCACCCGGCCCTGTTGACCCGGCCAGGGGAGCAGCCGCACCCTCATCCCCACCACCTCGGCGCCACCCCCGCTGGCAGCCTGCTGCCCCCTCCTCTCAACGGTGTTCACCACCACGCCCACCTCGGGGCCCAGGGGCACCACCACCCCGGGCAGGGCTTGGCAGCGCCGAGGGACCCTATTTCCGCCAACCCCCAGCTGAATGGCAGCGTCGCAGGCGGAAGCCACTCGGGGCCGCTGGAGGAGATCAACACCAAGGATGTGGCCCAACGGATCACCACCGAACTTAAGCGCTACAGCATTCCTCAGGCCATCTTCGCACAGAGGGTGCTCTGCCGCTCGCAGGGGACCCTCTCGGACCTGCTGCGCAATCCCAAACCATGGAGCAAGCTGAAATCCGGGCGGGAGACCTTCCGGAGGATGTGGAAGTGGCTGCAGGAGCCCGAGTTCCAGCGCATGTCCGCGCTCCGGCTGGCAGGTGAGGTGCTGCTGCTGCGCGGTTACCCTTATTGACAGGGGTGAGAGGAAGCCCCCCTTGCTCTCCCCGCCCCCTCCGGATCCACACAAGCAGGAGGCAGGAGCGGGGAAGTTTACTTGGGCTTGCGGGACCTTCGTCCCTCTCCCAATAGAGGACGGCCAGGAGAGAAGGGCGGATGAGGAGGCGGGCCACCCAATATAGAGACCTTCCCCGGCCCGCCCACCTCCTCTTCTGTCCCGGCACCCACTCTTCAGATCCCTGGGGTTGAACAGCTCGCCTAGAACGTTGGGTCAGGTCGGGTCGGGATTCGGTGCAGGTAGGAAACCCTAACCCTTCCCCTGCCCGGCGGCGGCGGCGGCGGCTCCCCTTCTCTTATACAGACATGGGGCAGAGGGAGAGGGGAGCGCGCGCAAAGGTTACGGCACCTGCAAAGCCAGGAAGGGAACCTGGGCGGCAGAGGCTGCGCGCTCGCCGAGGGTGTGGGAAGGGCTTGTGCTCTGCACGTTCCCCGGCGGAGTTGAGCACCTCACCTTTTGGACACACGCACGGAAGGAGGCGGCTTCTTTGCCGAGTTGTTTTTTCAGAGCAAACGGCTAGATCGGGGTTTATCCTGTGGGACCTTTGTTCGGTGCGCGGGGCTGCATGGCTTTGCCTTAAGCCGCCTCTATCTGACGAGGACGCATCGCCACCCCAGGAAGCCCACATGAAGGAAACAGGGGCTGAGAAGACGCAAGCTCCATGCCCGCTCCTGGGCAGAAGCTTGCGGGCCTCAGGCGTGGCGGTGAGCAGGCGGTCCAGGCGCAGGACCTGGTGCCTCCCTCTGGGGCTTTCTTGCGGCTCATTCATTTATTCCGGATAAGCTCTCCAGACGCCTGGATGGGATGCGCATGGAAAGAGGATCAAAGGATCCCTGCTAGATTCCGTCGGGGACAGGCCGCTGAACTCCAGCGCTTCAGAGCACCAGCGCCTGAGAGGTTCTCCGTGCGGACTCCCGCAACCGCTCGAAGCCTCATAACCGGCCCTAGACGGAAGACGCGCTGCTTGTGCCATTCTCCTCTATGGGGCGGCTGGTGTCCCGCCTGGGCCGAAGGAAACGGGCTGTTGGAGACTGGGCGCCCTAAATAGCAGGTCCCTTGAGCCGCCGGAGTCCCGGCTGCGGATCTGTTCTGGAGAGGCTGGTCTGACGGAAGAGAAGCCGCTGCCCGAAAAGCCAGCTAGCTGCCCTTTCGCGTCTTGCTCTGTGGCACCGCGTTGGTTGGCCGGCTGGCCGGCTGGCTTGGAAGGCGCTCTTGGCCCCTCCGCTGAGCGGCTGGAGAGGGCTTGTGGCGAGGCCGCCTCCACGCGCCTCGGCCGTCGCCTCTCTCCCTTTGCCCCGCAAGACTTTGCGCGAGAGCGAAGGGGGCGCAGGGTCGGCTCCTGGGGGGCGAGGGGCCAACGAGGGTGAACTGAGAGGACGCCGGTTGCTTGACGCCAGCAAACCGAGCCCAATGGCTGGCCGCTGATTTCCGTGCGCCGGTCGGTGTTGAGGGTGCTGAGTGACCGGGACGGGCGGAATGGGGCTGGCTGGATGACGACAGGCCTTCTCTCCAGGGGGGGGGCGCAACCCGGTGGGGTGCGGGCTGGAATGGAGAAACGGGGGCGGACAGAAGCGCCGTCCTCTCTTGCTTTTCCTTCCGGGCCCCCCACCGGCTAGCATGGCGACCTCACCTGCTCAGGCCCATGGCGCCCGGGATCTGGTCCTGGGTCGAGCAGACCCACCTCGCACCCTTTCGATTGTTATCTTGATTCCTGGCGCCCACTTGCCCGGCAGCTCCCCAGCTCGCTTCTGCCATAGATGGGAGACCCAGTGGAAGGCTGGAGGGACTCTCGCCTGCTCACCGGCACCCCGGTTTATGGCCTCTGTAAACCAACGGCAAAGGAGAAGGCCGCCGCCTCGGAGGGCCGCTTGCCCCCACCCACCCCCTCTCTCCCTCCCCCAGGGGATGTCCTTTCCCCCTAGAATGCTGGCGTGGGGTTCGGGCCAACGCTGCTCGTTTGCAGCGCCTCCTCGGGTGCCGAAAGAAGGTAGCCTTCTCCTTTTTGTGGCTACTTAGAGTCTCAGGAAGTCCGGGGAAAGGCGATAGCCTCCCACCTCAGACAGCCTTAAATACAGATTGGGAGGATGACTTTTCCCCCACTTGTGGAGCAATGAAAACTTGAACCTTCTTATCAATAACATTGTTTCACAACACGAAATGTGCAAGAGAGTTAAGGCCTGACTCTAACCCCAATAGCTGTCTCATAGCTCTCTGTATCTAGACCAAGTGTTACCTTTTATAGTGGCATAATCTAGCTTTCTTCAGATCCAATTCCACTATAAACTGCTCCGTTTGGGGGTTTGTTCCTATTTGGAAATGTCAGTATTTATTTTAAGATAGCTTGGCGTGTTTTTACATAATTAATTATGGTGCATTTCAATTATCTAACTGAAAATAATATAATCAATGTTTACTTAAATAATTTAATTATTGGCGTCCACTCCTATGTTTCTAAAAGAAATCAGTTCACGGTAATCCATACACTATGTCAATGGCATTAACACTATAGCACAAGAAGAGTGCTATATTGTCAGTACTGTGAGCATGTTGATGGCTCCTTTCAATATGTGGCATTTTCAAGCAGCTCCTTAAAAATGTGGCTCTCTGTAATTAAATATTTGGTATGCTGGCGCTTACTGCAGCATCACATGAGTAAATTATGGAAGTTTATATAAAAAGAGACTGCAGATGAATTCATTTCCATCTTCAGTTGCTTTACGAATTACATAATAGCCGGGTTTAGACAAACATACTTCAGTAAATTAAGGCAGCCTTTGGGGTAAAAGAGAGTGGCTTCTAATATGTACTCTAGTTTTGTATGAAGGCAATTAATAAAGCAAAAGTTGGTGAAATAAGCATCATCTCTCATCATTCTTTGGATGTCAACTAGATAGTCATATCAAAATAAGCGTGGGCTAGCATGTGTATTTTATACAGAAGCTCAGAAATGGCTGCAGCAGTAGCTCATAGCATCCCAAACATCAGACGGGTCATCATTACACAAAGAGATGAGAGCCAATAACAAATTCCTGCCTCTAAAAATGGCAGCAAAATCCATCCCTTTACTGAAAATCAGACTCTGTTTAGACTGAATCCAAGGTCCTCTGTATCTACAGTAAATGACTGACAGAATCGCACAGTTGGGAGAGTCTCCAAGTGCCATCGAATCAAGTTCCTTATCAAAGCAAGAAATGCACCCTGAGGGCATCCCTCAACTTCCAACCAAGGAGACACCCTCGCCCTCACAAGGCAATCCATTTCAGTGTTGAGCAGCTGTTCCCATTCAGAAGGCCTTTTCAGTTTACCTGGAATCTCCATTCTCACAATCTGAAGCCATCAAATCGGGTCCTATTCACTGGAGGAATAGAAAGCAAAATTGTTCCACCTTTCACATAACACCTGGTGGATATCCAAAGATTGCTGCCGTGTTGCCATCCAGGCTGCTCTTCTTCTTCTTGCTGCTGCTGCTGCTGTTATGTGTCATCGTTGCCTCTGACCATACGGTGACTCTATGGATGAGAGATACCCAAAATGCCCTGTCCTCAACATCATGAAGCCTGTGGCTTCCTGTAGGGAGCCAGTCCATCTCACATTTGATCTTCGTCTTTTCCAGCTGCCTTCAACCTTTCCTGGCCTTATTGTCTTTTTCAGAGAATCCTGCCTTTTCAGGATGTGTCCAAAGGAGGACAGCCTCAGACATTTTTGCCTATAGTTTAAGCTTGATTTGATCTAGGACCCACTTGTTCGTCTTTCTGGCAGTCCAGAGTCTCCACAAAGCTCTCCTCCAGCACCACCTTTCAAATGCATCTATTTTTTTCCTCTTGGTTTTCTTTATTGTCCAGCTTTCACACCTGCACATGCTGGTTGGAAATACAAGACTGTGGGTGGTCTTGGTCTCAAGTGACACATCCTTACACTTCATCGTTTCAAATTCCTTCATTGCTGTTCTTCCCAGTGTTCTTCTGATCTCTTGGCTGCAGTCTGCATTTGAATTGCTTATTGAACAAAGGTATAGAAAAATCTTTCACTAGAGGGAGGAATGGTTCAAGGCCTTTGGGCAGAGCCTTCCACCTATTCCAGGCCCTTAGTTTCTTGTGCCTTCTTCAGTACAAGGCTGACATCAGCAGAGAATGGAAAGGGCACAGGTCTTCCCTTAGGGTGAAAAGAGAGGGTTGGATCTCTTCTCTTTTCCCAAGGACATGGGATTGAAGTTTAAGCCAATCTGTTACCAAAGGTCAAGCTTCTATCAGCAATTTAAGTTACCTCTTTCCATTGCTTTACTCCTTGGAAAGAATCATAATTCAGACATTAATAGCTGAGCAATTGGCTGCTGAGTCAGAGGTTTGGAGTTCAGTTTCCCACTGTGCCTCTGTGAGTGGCACAGTCTTACCACCTCCTTAGAAGTCAGGGCACCATTCCCAACCCTCAGCTCACCTGTGGGCTGGAGCAGTGCTGGCGATGACACCCTGGAGGCCACATGGGTGAGCACAGAGGGCTGGGGATTTAAGACAGAGAGTGAAGAGAACCAGGGGTGGGTGGGTGGTCTGTTGGGTGGGTGCATGGGATTGGGATGCATTGGAGGCCCAGGAAGGCCAGTGCCACCAAAGCAGTCCACTGCCAGCTGGAAAATAATCTGCCATTGAGATCCTGACACCGGGTGCCGGGAGGAGTTCTTTGTCCCTCCAGGGAAAGCAGCCCGAATGTGTCAAGGTGATAGGTGAAATGCTGGAGGAACCAGGACAGGATGCGCCACCTTCAGAGGAAGCTGCAAGGGTGAATGGCCCCATTGCCAGGCTTCAAAAAGAGTTTTGCAAGCCAGCCAGCTGGTTTACCTCCCAGCCTGCTGGCCAGTCAGCCAGCTTCCTTTTACCCCTCGCCAAGTGGATGAGCCCTGTCTCTCAAGAGGAGTGACCACATGTATGGTCCCCAGTGACCACTCAGGAGTACTTTGGGAAGGTGCCTGGGCTACTCTGCTACAAGGGCAACTGGAGGCATGCATCCAGCACCCCTGAGGTTGCACCCCATGCTTGGCGCACCTGAGAGATGTGCTTGAGCTGATTAAAGAGGTGGGGCTGCCCTCCTTCCAGCAATAAAGGCTCCCAAGGATGATTTCTCGAGAACAAGATGGCTTGGGAGAACATAACGTTCCTTGGTGTCCATTCTTCTCTAAGCCAGGCCAGCTATGTTTCTGTTACATTGATTGCAATAAAAGAGCCAGTTCTCATTCATACTTCTGACGTCTCAGTGGAGTGGGATGCAGGGGGCACTCCCAGCCTCCCAGGAGATGAGTCAGCCTGTGTGGCCTTGGGCAAGCTGCCTGGTGGTCCCAGAGTACCCACAGAAGAAGGGAAAGGTCAACCATTTTGGAGTATTCTGTGTCTTGAAAGCCCTGGGAAGGGTTGTGGTCAAGCAGAATCCATTGACAGCACCTTATGAAAATGTAGTACTAATTGTATAAAAGTCTGTTTGTTACAGCTAAATGTTTCTACCATACTGAAGCAGCAGATTAAGAAGTTGGAGAAGTTACTGCCGGTTTTAAATGAACACCCAGGTCTTGTCTTTATTAAGCCAATGACACGTGTTACTTACAACAGCAGCTACAGAAGAGTTTGGGACAGATAAATCTTGCAAGTCATGGGTAGTTTCTGAATCTTTTCAGAATGACAGCCACTGAGAAACTTTGCTTACAGAGCACTACAACTGCAAACTGTCTCTCCCCCTACCAATATATTCCAGGCTGCTGGACAGGTGGGGGCTTTTACTGATTTGCATGATACTTCCTTCGTGTTTAGCACCCTTTCTGTAAATCTGCACTGTGAGCAATGCACAGTAGAGCCCCCCTCTTGATTATTATATTTATGATATCTAAATATACAGACAACAGAAGACTCAAACATAAATTAAAGGTGCAGGTAAACTTATTTTGTTTCATTTTATTTTACTTATATGCTGCCTTTCTCTCAAAACTGGGGCTAGCTTAATCATAAAGTTAGAATAAAAGAAAATTAAAATAAAATTCTATGTCAATATTTCACCTAAAAGTCAATCTCTAATGCCTCCTCCTCCTCGTCCCTTTTCTCTTTAATTTCAGCTTGTAAACGGAAAGAACAAGAACATGGGAAGGAGAGAGGGAACACTCCCAAGAAGCCCAGACTGGTCTTTACAGATGTCCAGCGTCGAACTCTTCATGCAATATTCAAAGAAAATAAGCGCCCATCCAAAGAATTGCAAATCACCATTTCACAGCAGTTGGGTCTAGAACTGAGCACTGTCAGCAACTTTTTTATGAATGCACGAAGGAGGAGCTTGGATAAATGGCAAGACGAGGGTGGCTCTAATCCAAGCAACTCATCATCTTCATCCAACACTTGTACCAAAGCATAAACTACAAACTCAACCTCGGTGGAAAAGCTTTAAGAACAGAGGAACAGGACCTCAGGAAAGCAGGTTTATACTCTTTTTTTAAAATGATATTTATAAACCCAAAGAAACCAAAGACTTATTTCAGATATGACTTTCCTCTTTAGAGACATGTTTCAGTGGGATTATGGCCTTTGCAAGATAAGAAGATGGGGAAAGATTTGGGAACCCAGCCACTGGTTTTACATCAACTTCTAAGACCTCCTCAAACTTGACTGTGTCTTGGCTTGATGTGTGGTGATTCCTTGTTCCCAGTGAATCTTTTTCCAGCTGTGGGTCTTCCTTGCCACAAATTGGCATGAGGTGGACGGTGTATATAGCACTCCTGTGTACACTACAATAGTGAGGAATTTACACAGGGCTGGTCTTCAGAAGGTGCAACTTTAATAGCATTAAGTCATCTAAGTTGTGTGGTTTCACTTCTTTAATCGTTGGAACTTTGCCAGTGCAATTTCTGGAGAGGAGTCTCAGAAAATAAGGCAAAGAAATGTTGAATGCCACCTGAACCAGCTGCTTTCTCTTTGTTTGTTAAGGAATAGGCCCATTATTCAAACGGCCACAATTCATTTGCAAAAATATCAAGTAGGTACCAAATAACACATTTAAAATTAATTCTATAGCAGGTATTTTGTTCCAATGTGTTTAGTACTCAAAGGCTATTTTTACACAGAATTCTATGTAGAGCTATGAAGACACCAAACGGAAAGCAAGACGGTTGATCTGGCCACTCCAGATCCCCAGAACTGATTAAAGGGGTAGCATTGATACATTAATCAAACATAATTTGTTTGGAAACGCTACATCTGTTCTCATGAACACTGTGGGTTCCAGTACGAATGCTTGATACTACTAGTGTTTTCAAAACAGTTATTTCCCACTGGGGTTCAGGGTGTCTGTGTGTGTCTTCTCCTCCACCCTCTAATAATTTCAAGAAAAGTGCTCTGTTAGTGTACTGTTCAAACAGTATACATTGTATATGGTATATCAACACACACTGCGTGTGTGCTTTATTTATATGGTTGATTTTCACAAACTTTGCATTGTTTAAAATGCAGTTTTTCTGACACATTAATACATGGGGGAGAAAGAGACCAGTGGGGCATTGTGCTTAAACCCACTAAAAATTAATCTTCTGATCTTACAAAAATCTGAGGAAATTCTTTTGCAACCAGTGGGACAGTTTTAAGTAACTATGACTCCCATTGGGGAATCAGGCTTGTGAGATGTTATTTTAGGGTGGCAGCTCAGTGCAGATTTCTTGCACACATATTATTTAATATTTATCTCTAATCTTTCATTCATTTTCAGCCCTAGTCATGCATAGGTACAGGCTATGAAGGTAAGGCTTTTCAGTCATTACTGCAAACAGATGTTCAGGTGGCAATGAAGTCTGCATTTTATGTGCAATAGAACCAAAGTGTTTATATTTAATGACATTACCTTTCTGACACACAGAAAAATAATCATAAGTGATGTGTACATATAACTCTCAGATCTCCAGTTAGTCCTTCGTTGTGCAATAATGTTTTGTTTTTAGTAAATCAGGTTATTAAGTTATAAGAACAATCATATTAAATCCATGTTCCCCTTTAAAAAAAAAACAAAGGAAACTCTGATTTCAGATACATGCATGTATATGCATACAGAGACACTTCCTTCCTGGAGATATTTGTGTTTGGCCCTCTGCCGTGGAATGTAGGTGAAAATTCCCATTGAAGACAATGAGCTGTGGTGATTTGCACTGTCCTTTTAAAATTACATTTCTGCCCCATCTTTCCACTTGTACAGCATTGCTTGACACCATTAAAAAGAAATTTAAACCAGGTGGAAACAAATTAATACCCTAATGTGGGGACGTTAACCGTAGAACTGGGATATGGGGCCTGTTTCTGCCTGGAGCACAAGCCAGCACCCCAGGGTGCTCTTCCCATGCGACAACAGTGTTGGGTCATCAAAGTCTTATTATGAGTTGTAGTGAAGTGTCTCGAAAGCAAGCTGCAGGAAATACATGGCACCTATGCCAAAGTCCCAACACCTAAAAGAGCTAACATTGAAGGGGGTCATAACTTTGAACACAGTCAGAAGCAGAACAGTCCTGATGGTTGCAAATAATATGCTCATGATATTTAGGACCTTAGGTGTTAAGATACTACTAAAAGTTAGCCAGACCGGCTGGAAAGATGGCAGATCCTTGTGTGTGTTGAATGTGAAGGATTCAACCTTGGTTACATTTGCTATACCCAAGAGTCCTAAGCCACATTTCTTGACAGAAATGCAATATGCCTCTTTTTCATAAAGGGAGTGGGGCATTTCCTCCATTCTTCCTCCTGTGAAATACTATGCATTTAGCAAACAAAGAGAAAGCAGCCACTCTTTTATATTAAAGTGTATGCAGACCATCTTCAACAATTCTAGAGACCAGTGTGAAGACTTTCTTTGGCCTTATGGGATGTTATTGTGATGTGATTCATTTAATGATATGCTTTGTAACTATTTTCTTCAGTTGAAGAAGCAGAATGTAAGGAATGCTTACAACCACATCTTCAAAAGAAAAGAATTGTTCCGTGTAAAGCTCTGCTATTGATAGTATGACCAAAGATGCTACCTCACTCAATTTCCATTGGTGATTTTAATCACACAGATACCAAAGATTGAGCATGCATAGCCTGCATCTGAAAAGGGAACTCATTCTGCTGAACTTTCCATTTTCCATCTTTAGTCAATATGCACATTTATATTGGCTGTGATGACCACTTCAGCGACCATGACAAGAATTGCTTTACGCAAATGTGTTCAACACTTTATAAACTAGGATGAGTGCCTTGCTTGAACCAAAGTGTTAAACCGCTCTTAACCTCTTTAACTCTTTCCTTATAGATACTCTTTGAATACCTCAGCCTAACAGAAAGGCCACTAATGACAGATTAAAAAGACAGACATGGTGCTTTTTGCCATGATCTCATGCAATGAAACATTCACTGATACCAAAGGAAAAATGCTTCCTTACTGGCAAATCAAAGGCTTCCTTTCCTCTCCTTTCCATTGCCAGTAGCTTGAGTCCTCTCCACAGACAGGCTGTGCATTCCTTTTACCAATTCCTGCAAATACCTCATAGTAATAAATCACCAGGGTTATGTTGTATGGAGAGAGTCTGCTTGCTAAGGCAGAAGATAGTGGTTTGCTAATAGACACATCTATGTTAAAAGTTATAACAGGCCAGCTTGTTTTTATGAAGTTGTTAATGTTTGTTTGTGTGTATGTTTATTTAAATCGAATGTTGTATTCCCTCATTTTTGTCAGAACTGCTCAGTCATCTAACACATTTCTTCCAGATAAATTTAGAACGCAATTGGAAAGAGGGCTGTTGTTTAAGAAAAGGGTCAACACCCTGCCCTTATG